ATGAGCCGAACCTCCAACAGACCAACATGTCCACAGGGTAGGACTTAGTGTCACTTTTCATCATACCTGAACGCAACACAGTCTGTGCCTTTGAAGTTTACAGCCTCAGATCATTCCTCTGAACATTAACAGCTGCAGAAAGCCATGAAATGCACCATCCTTAAATAAGGTCCATTACCAACTCTGGGCCTGTGGACATGAGAGGCAACATTATGCAGTGACAATGTTCACATTAAAACTTTTTAGACAAAGCAAGCTGGTGGGGAGGAAGACAAGGCAGTAATTACTCTGCTGGGGAATCATGGTTACAAGTCTAAACAGCAAAGAGTATGTAAGAAACATAAATGGGGGACATAAAGCGCATTGTTTACTTTGTGATGGTCGTGTGAAACCGTTACTGCCGCAGTAATGATGATTAGTGTTGTAACAATTCCCATCAAAGCCCTGCTGCTTCAAAACGCCGTCTCCAGACGCTGCTGTGTGAGCCCTCTGCAGCTACGCTCACTCACAGGTAGCAGGTAAGGAGGCAGTGTATGGGGGAGTGTGTGCAGACAAAAGATAAACAAGGTAGGAAGGAGATGAAAAGGATGATAAGTAGGGTCAACTGCACAGACTTTAACACACATAACTAATCATAATTACTCCTTTAGAATATACACATATTTCAAATGTTTTAAGAGTTGGGGAATGCAAAGTGCTTCTCCTCTCACTTATACACACTCAAACACACCCCACAAGCATCTGGGAGGAAATCACAGCTGTTTATAAACAATCCAGTGACCCCATGACGTGAACAGATTCACTGAGGAGTAATTTATGAGATCAGGGCCAATGCATGGTTCTAACGGGAGATGAATGGTAATGAAGACAAAGAAGGGGAGTTATGAGTAACATCTGTGAGCGGGACTGTTCCGAGCCACACAGGCTCCACTGAGTCTTGTTGGCTGCCATTTTGGCAGTGACAGATTGCCTTATGACAAAAGTTACTAAAAGCCTCCACGGAATACTCCATCAAGTGTAAAAATGTAAAGGAAACAAAACAAACAAAGATAAATGCTTAATTTTGTGATTGACATATCATCTCTCTTAATACAGATCGTTCCATGCTGGCAGGTTTATTGTGTTTTGAATAAGCGGCAGTGCTGAGTTTGAGCAGCTTCTTAAGCAGGTGATTTACAGCCAGATGTCCACTGCTTTGTGAAGTCATTTTTTCTTGGCATCAGCTAGAATTTAAGGCACAAATTGAGCAGAGAGAAACTCGGCTAAACCCTTTGAAAATTTAATTAGCTTTTTATTTAATTAATAAAAGAATGATAGTGGTCTGAGCCAAAGGTTTTAAGTAAAGTGTTTTTTGATTTTTAGTTCCCAATAAATGTTAATAAACAAATTCTTATTTCAGAGTGAGATAACTCCAGTTAGTTCAGAATACAGTATTCAATTTATTTTATTATTTTCTAAGAGGGGGAGAAATGATAAAAAAAAACAAAAAAAACCCCTAGCCCTGTGTAATAAGTATTTCCTCTCAGAGCTAATAGTTAGTTATGTTACCTTTGGCAGCAACAACTGCCATCAAGTGTTTGCAATAACTGTCAGCTACATTAGAGAGCTTCAAGCATGAATCACATTTTAAAGGTCACAGCACAGCATTTTGGTTTAAACTCTGACAAAGCTACAGTGGAACCTTTAGTTTTTGAAACATTCAGAGGTCTGAGTTGCTGCCGTGCTTTGGGTCATTGTGATCTTACATTCCCAAAGTACGTTTGAGTCACAAAATGAAAGCCAGAAATTCTTCTTCAGGATTCTCTTGGTTTTATCCATTATGTCTTACCTCAGACATACCAGTGTTTTTTTATTTTTTTTTTATTGTCATTAGACTTTCACAAGTACAGAGCAATGAAATTAACTCTCTGCATTTAACTCATTCAATTGGGGAGCAGTGGGCTGCCATTTTGAGGCGCCTGGGGAGCAGTGTGGGGTTAAGGTCCTTTGCTCAGGGACCCAGAGCGGTAGTCTGTGGGAGTGGGGCTCAAACCCAGAACCTCAGGATCCCAAGTGCTATACCCTAACCACTAGGCTGCCAGCCCCAATCTGAATTGGTAATAGTGATCTTTGAACATTATATCAAATGTACAATTTGTGTAGTGTTCTTTTTCTAAAATAATTTTATTTCTTTCAAGCAAGATGAATACAGTCACATTTTCCCACTTTCTCTCCCTCATCAGTCTAATCTTGGGATACGTTTAGGCAGTTGCCAATTTGCTTTTTTTGTTCTTTTGCTTACTGCTATGGTTTTTCAAACTCTCTTTCTTATTGCTGAATCATGAACAATGACCTCAACTAAGGTATGATAGACCTGCAGTGCTTTAGATATTATTGGTTTCATTCACTTTATTGTAAGTGAAACCCATAAGCCCTTAGAATAATTTGTGTTAGGCTAGTCAGTCCTGTGGGGCTTTATCATAATTAAATGTTTTGTCCCTTCATGCAAATTTCACTTACCCTGAAAATAGTTTTTTTAATGTGATGGTTTTCAGTGAGACAAAAAGCTAAATCAGCAGAATTCTGGAATGGGACCAACGCTTTGCAGCATTGTAAAGGCGTCCAGCTCTAAGATTAAGTTGGAGCAGGTTAAATTTATCAGTATGTGATACTATAACATTTATGCCATGTGTTTGTATATATGTTCCATAAAACAAAATATTTAAATCATTTAGCATCGGTTTGTTGATTAACAAATGCCATATGCCAGAAACCCCAGCAGAAACTCATTAGACTTGGACTTTTATGTGTAGCATTAGTAGAGACATGATCTATTTAGTCAACAAACAACTGCAGCAGCTCATGATTCGCTGGGCATCTCAGCGGTAATGGTTTAAGCAATATTCATTGCATCCCACTGCCTCGCTCTGTGGTGCAGTCACACTTCAGCTGCTGAAAAATACAATCACCCAGTCAGTACTCGGCTGCCTATGGCGCATAAAGCCATATTAAAAGATACCAGCTATATGAACAGAGAACTACTGTGAAACTGTGCTTATGACTTTAGTGTTAAATTCCAGCCAAGAAGTCAGTGTCTCGGAAAATGAATGCAATCTTTATTGTGCATATCATTTATAATTAGATAATACAAGTCTCATTTAATATAATAATATACTAGTTACTTATGCTCATTAGCTAATTCGCAATCATGGTGGAGGTGTGTAAAGAGCCTTTAGGTATATTCCATTTTTATTGCATTAGCATAATACCACACAGAAATGAAATATAAAAAATTCAAAATGAAGGCATTTATGAGGTTAAAAAAAAAACATACACAGGGGCCAAATGTATTGCCCTGTATTTATGTCTATACTGAAAAAAATCTACCTTAAAAGATTCTTGATAAAAAAGCTTTTATTGAAATTAAGAAAATTGAAATCAGTAATTAATGGCTTGTAGGTTTCCTGCACATATTTTGGCAGGACCCAGAGTCACACCTAAAAGTGGGTAAAACAAGATAACAACTAATATAAGTGAGACAGTTGAGCATTTATTTTCATAAGTCGGAAAAAAGCTGCAAGAAAATGGATGCTTTCCAAAACGTGTTTCCAATTACGGCAAAAATTAAAAGGTTTAAAACTACTGTGATGGTGGCAAAGCTGGATGTGGATCTGAGTCACCATATACAGTGATGAAAGTGGGAGGCAAAACCTCAAAAGCTCACTGTTGGAGAACTCCAGCAAAGGGTGGCTTCTCAAGGTTAGCAAGTCTCCATAACAACCATTAGAAAATATACACGCAAAGCAGTACTTTGGGAGGCAAGCCAGGAAAAAGCTGTTTCTGTCCAACATCGCAATGCCAAGGTCACCTTTGTTACTGAGATTTGAAATCTCAATGGGTCTCCCCATGGGTTAAATCAAAAATTAATAATGTAGCTGGTTGCTAAACACTTCAGAGACTAAAACTCAAAGTAGCTTGGGAAAAAAAAAAAAGATAATTTTAGTAAAAATATGAAGGCTTTAACTTTAAATTTCATAAATAACACATATGGCCTAACAGACAGTCCTAGGGTGAGAAGAGGTTGCATACAATAGTGTGAACTTTACCTGCATTATTAGTTTATTTTACTTAATCACTTATTTACTTTGACACAGTATTTCTTTTAAGAGTCATAGTGACCGCTGCTAATATGTTACTGTAGCACTCTTTTGTCAGTAACTAATACTCTAACATGTTTCTTTAAAAATAATGTAAGTCAGTTCCTGTCACTCTATGATGCGTTGTTCTGTTAAGGGCACACTGGCTATCTCAAAGCTGCTTTTTGTGGATGACGTGGTTCTGCTGGCTTCCTCCTGCCAAGACCTACAGTATGAACTAAGGCAATACAAAGATGAGTGTGAAGAGGCTGGGATGAGAATAAGCAACTCCAAGTCTGATGCAAGGGTTCTAGACCAGAAAAATTTGGACTGTCCCCTTCAAATTAGATGAGAGTGGACATGTTTTTTCTGATGCCCCCTGGATGCCTCCCTAAGGAGGCATTCCAGGCATTTCCATAGGGGTGGAGGCCCAGGGGACAACCTAGGACATGCTAGTAGGACTATGCCCCTCGGTTGGCGTGGGAGCGTCTTGAGCTTTTCCCAGCGGAGCTGGAGGAGGTGGCTGTGGAGAAAGTCTGGTAGTCTCTGCTAAGACTGCTGCCCCTGGGACCCCCCCTCGGGTGATGCAGAACACAACGAGTAATTATCAGGAGTTATCAGTCATGGTCAGTGAGGGCTGTAAAAAGCATTATAAGCATGGGTGTAAAAAAATGTGCCGTAGGTAGTTGGTTAACAAGAAATTATCTCTTAACTTGAAATTTTTATCCACTGAATGAATCTGATCTTATTAAATAGTGGAAGTTAATACATTCCTCTATCTGATACTACACTGCTCAATTAAAAGATTAACTGTTTTTAGGCCTTATCCACAAGTCTATTCAAGCATGCTAATAAGTGAATGCAAAAGGAAATGCTCTTCCTTACCTCCAATTTTTGCGTTAAAGGCCACACCTGCACCACATATCCCATTGTTGGCTACAGCTGCGACTTCCCCTGCACATCGAGTCCCATGTCTGTAAAAAAAAAAATGATGGGATTACCATGACAAAATAAAAATGAAAAAAGATGCAGCTCAGAAAACAAATAGATTACTACCAGATTCACTCAGCTACAGAGGCTTTTCAAATCTCTCAAATGTGCGAAGCCTTTTAAGAGGAAAATAAAATAGAGTGAAAAAAAAATAAATACTGACCAATTTGTTCTTTTTTAGCTGCAAACCTTTTGTTATCTTAGCAGTAACAAAATAAATAGCCTTCACCATTATGATGAACATCACAAGTCATTTAAATCGAGGCTGCAAGACATTCTTTTCTTTTTGCACTAAACAAACTCAACAAAAATCTAACTCCTCTGCTGAGCTGTATTAATCTCAGAGGTTGCCCTGAAGTTGCAAAATAAGCAGAATCCTTAAAAAAGTAAACCCAGCATCATCATCTTATGCAAAAGAAAAATTAAATTGCATATTTCAACCTACACACGAGTTAAAAAGAGGTTTTGTAGTTTAATCTTATTATATATCCCATTATCATACACTCAAGTTGTTAAAACATCTAGATTTGAGCTAAGCCTTTATTTCAGCATGTAAATACAGCTGAAATAAGGAAATTCATATCAAGGTTATCACTAAACAAATGGAATAAATCAGAATGATGGATGCCGAATTTGACTGAGATAGTTTTAAATACATTTTAAAAAGGATTTATTAGTTGAAAACTTGTAGGATGTTATTTAATTTTTGATTTAGTACTTGTTTGAAACCTCAAATATAAAATATTTAAAATCAGTAGAACACAAGCAGTTCATGGAGCCCTTCTTTCAAATCTGGTTCAATTTCTAAGACAGAGTATTGGAAATCGTTTCCCCCGTCATGAAGGTTTAGGAGGGAATCCTCTTCCAATCAGAAATAATGCTGGGCAAACACACAAAGAGCAGTCAAAAACTACCTGGTGCTTTGATGGAAACTGGCCACAGGCCATCAAAATGAAATATGCATTATTGGTGTACTTGAATTATTCACAGCTCTTCAATAAATCTTTCAACCATGAGTTTCTGAGATCAGGCAGGTTTCCAGGAAAGAATCATCCAGCTGGAAAATTCTCCAACAGTTGAACAAAGAAAAACAGCACTGGCTTTAAAGCTTGTGTTGAAACCTGTTATAGCTGCGCCTTATTCGTTGAAACCCAGCATAAAGTCAGCACAGAGAAGGATTTAATGTATTTCACTGACATCTGGACTGAAAGGAATATAATAAAACTAGATGAATTGAGACCAGTGACTTTGTAGTATTTAGCAAATGTAATTAAGATTACATTTTGATAACAGGTGCAGGTATCTGAATAAAAATAGGATTCCAATTTCTTTTCCAAAGATGTGCCCTGCAATTGTTTTATAACAAAGCTAATGAAATTACCAAAACTGTTTAAGACCAAGAAAATTACCGACGATTAGACGAACCGATGATCACTTTTCCTTTTGTTCTCCCAGCCTCCCTAATGATGAGGTAGAGGACAAAGACTTTTCTCAGGGTCGCCGCACAACGACACCTCCAGCTGGAATCCTGATTAGACTGTTCAGCTCAGTGATGTATAATGAACCTCTGAACTCAAAAACCTTTACTGCAGAATTTATGGCTTCGTTCTAACTTCATTTTGTTGTTGAAAACCAAAGAAAAAAATATATGGATGAAAAAAATCTATCTACGCTATGAAATGATTTAAATTTCAATCTGAGCTGTCAACAAGCAGAAGCATTGGAGTGATTTTAAAAACAAGCAATCAACTTGCCTGGCAAGGCTTATTTTTCACTGACATATATGCCCCTGCACAACGACCTCAGCGCACATGGCAGAGTGTAATACATCCTGAATGCAATTAGAAGCTGATCATTCTGAACAAAAGGTTAACTATAAACTGGAAGCTATTTCATACTGCATTAATATCAGCACTTGATACAGATTTGACATCTCCACTGAGAACAATCTGTGATCCCATGGGTGAAATCTGTATGATGGAGAGGACAGCTAACTAGGAGCAAGCATGTTTTCTACAATGATTGAAAATAGGAACGTGAAAAATGTTGATTTTGGAGAAACTGATTTTTCTTTTTATTGCCGGGCATCTCTGTGTGCATGGGAAGTGGCAATCAGTGGTTTCAGAGGGTACCCATTTCTCATTGTTTAATCAGAGACAGAGACCTGCCCACTCACAGCATTTAGGCCCAGAACGGCGGGACTGATGAATGTCATGCGTCCTTACAAACTCATTCTCAGATATAAGATATGCTATCATAGGCAGAGATGTGCAAAGTGGGTGGTGAATGGCGCTTCTCTGTACTTCAAATCAAAACACATTGAGATGTAAGACCAAAAGGTCTGTTATCACAGGTCTTCTTTTCTTCACAGAATAAGAATAAGCTGCAAAGCTTTTGGACAGTGGTGGAGTCAACAGATGAGGAAATATGCCAACAAGAATTAGCTTACTAAGTGAACAATCAGTAAACTAATTGTTCAATTAGCTTAATCTAAATGTCAATTAGGTTCCATGCGTGTATGTGTTCACTATAATGTCTCTCTCTAGCGAGATGAATCGTGTGCCAGTTTACAGATTTCTACCTTATCAGGAGAAACTACTCTTGCTCTTTTTCAAAACGTTTTCCATCATTGATCACCTGACCAATTTTGGGTCAGGTGATCAATTACCTTTGATCAATTTAGCTTTCACAGCATTCAAACATTCACCATAATAAAGTAAGTCCATATTCTAATATTTGATTACAACTGAAACATTAATCATTGGTAAACTTTTATTGCAACTTTCATTGCTTATATGCAAAATAAAAGGAAACACTGACATCTTTTTGCTTTTACATCCTGATCATTCAGAGCGCTGGTATTACAGGAACCAATTGGTGCATTTTGGGTGAGTGGGGGGATAGTATAAATTTTCTGATAAGGTTGCCTATCAGATCAGTACAACAAAAAGAAGGTCTAGAGAAATGGTCCACCAAAGCAGTTTTAAAAGAGATTTGATGATAACAATAAATACCGTGATGTCTTAGAAAGTGAAGATTATGTTACAGAGATGCAAGAGTTTAGCAGTAACCATTAAAAAACAAATAGCCATACATGCTGTAAATATGTTATTATATTCTAATATAAAATGATGTGCTTGCGTTGAATTTCAAACAAAAAACTTCAAATGCAGTAGAAACACTGGGTGGGTGATTAAATCATGAATACCACACAAAGGCTAAAGATGATATTACAGAGTTTAGTTTATAAAGAAAAGGGAACATATTGTTGGGATTTGGGCAGATGTTATTTTAAAAAACAAAACAGTTAAACAATTCTACAACCAGAGTACAACCTTTTTTCTTACCAATTATCATCATTCCTCATTCATAACTTGAAGGAAAGGACACCTGAATGCAGCCCTTAGCAAACTGTGGGAACAGCAGCCATGAGAAGGAGACATATTGAGGCAATTACTTCATAATAAAATATTAAGTAATATAATAACCCATTTTACCACTGAGAATTTTCTCTCCTCTGTGCAAAAAAGAGCACCTTAATTTTCATCAGTGTTGCAGTTCCTTCCATAAATTATTACTTTTTTTTAAATGATAGAGTTCTTGCAAGCAACTTTTCTACTTGAAATGATGAGCGTGATTAAAAATTAAAAACAAGTGCAAGGTGAGATCTACACCCCCCCCCCCACCATGGCACATCAAGTATTTTTTATGAGTTAGTTTCAAAGATGCTAAATATACTGTTTGCAATATACAGTTCGTTAACCCGACGAATTACTACCTGCAATGTATTACAGGTACTAGTTAGTAGAGTTGATCGGCTTTATGTGTGCTATCACGTTTGCACATATTTTTGTTCACTCACAGAGATGGGAGGTCCAAGTTACACATACATTTTTGTTATGTTCAGCTTTGAACATTTTCAGCTGGAGATCACTTTTGGAATGCAATAAACATGTGCAGCATTAAAAGGTTATGCTGGAGCATTGCTTACAGAGAGTCACATCTTACTAGGAGCCAAAGCAGACATGCATTAATAAGATGAGGATATCAGATTTGATTCTTTCCATTACATGTTCACTAAAAACATTGCCGCCCATTGCTCTTTGTCTGTAATCCGTACACCCAGTTTCCAATTATGCATGTGGTGTTTGGAAAAGGACAAGTAAAAACAATAATTTTCTATGTTTCATCTGCAGCATGATTAATGTCCTTGCAGTTTAACAACACACAATGAATGTGAAAATCAGCCCTGGGTTTAGAGCTCACACTGTTTTGCTATTACTAAGCAAAGGAAAGAGTGCCTGTAGCTTTAGTGATGGGCAAAATAATACATACTTATGTAGTGTGACTGACCAGATGGCTGGTTAATTTGCATTTTGTATTTAACATCTCTGCCAACAGGACATGTTTATTAGACTTAATATCAAAATAAAGTATTTTTTTGTTTTTTTAAAAGAAATCCTACTGTGATATGAGTCACTTACCTAAATCAAAATGTGTGCTTTTAAAACATGTCAAACATTCAAAGCAACACTTGCCTTTCCAAGACCCCTAATATGCAGGTGTGTTAAAAACCTAATGGCATAAGAGTCAATATACACAACTAAGCATACAAACATTCATAACATGGGGAAATTTAATTGTCATTCATTTTTGTTTGTTTTTAATAGAAAAAAAAAGACAGGGATTTCTTAAAATATAATAAAACAACTGGATAACAAATCAGCAGAATGGTAGCAGTAACAAAACTACACTAATTTTCCTCTCCCCAATTTCAGAAAGAAAATCCTAATAATTAATTTTCATTTAAAAATTACAAGATGAAAACTATTCAAATTCCTTACTTAATATTCAGGTTAGAGCTTTCAAAAACCTACAATGCAGCTATAGAGTTGATTCCTTCCCACTATCATCGCAAACTCCACCCCATACAGGGGACTAAAACATCTTGCCTGATCAGCCAGGTCAGCAATTCTCACTAACG